AATATGCTGACCCTGTAAACCGCTTAGAGAGGGCTGAAAGCCCTATGAAGTGGTATATAAGTCTAATTGCTATTGCTATTGCTAGCTTTACTGGCCACTGGAACATATATCACAGCTAAAAGATCCATTTCATAATATACAACATTCTTAAAAAGCAGTTCTTTGCAGGAATTGACAGATAATGTAGATAATAGAACAGAGAATAAAAAAATCTATGCGACAGCAAACCTATGACATGTGTCAAAGGTAACATGCCATGACATTTTGGGTGACATGCCTGTGTTTACCAACACCTGAAAACTACTCTCAAAAGCATGGCCCATTCTCGCATGATTTTCAGAGACTGTGGAGGCCACCCAAGAATGGGGCATGCTCTCACCTGGCCTCCAGAACCTCCGGAAGTCACGCGACCTCTGAAAATCATACAAGAACTGGCTATGCTTTTGGACAGATTTCATAGGCTGTAGAAGAACATTCTTCCAAACCAAGAATAAAAGCCTTGTGTGTCTCAAGTAGGCCGCAGGAGCTTGTGAACAGAAAGAGCACATTGCCTGAAGGTAAGCAGTGCATAGCAGAACCTGAGGAGTGCAAGGCTGCAGGGGCAATGGCATCTTGGGGAATGGTTTTTTGAGTGGCAGCAATGGTGTTGCAAAGACTAAAGTCATGGCCCATGCCTTTACTTTAGGCCCAATGTCAGCCCTGTCTCCAAGTACTGCTGTTCACGGTGGTTTAGATGGGGTGAGGGGGGGGGGATGTAGGAGATCCTTCTATTTTGTTCAAGTAAGTGTGACACACCAGAAGAATCAAGTTAACCATTTTCTGAATTTTTGATAAGCCAAACCCAAAAGGCTGGTCATCACTCCCCTAAATATATAGAATTCTCAGCAAATGCAGTTACAATGAGTGGTAAAGGATGGTAAAAGATGCTGGGAATCTTAATTAAATACTACCTAAATAGCCATGTTCCCGTCTTACGATTTGGTCCTCTGAAAGCTTTCAAAAATGCAAAATGATAGGGCTGTATACCATGGCGCTTCCCCATTCAATCTTATATTCTCCATGTGATCCAGAAATATTTCAAGTGGAAATATATGTAACTTTGTTCAGTTAAACATACTTTTACATCCCTGCAGGATTAGGGAGTCCAACCTATTAAGATTTATCTAGGATTCTGTAATTGCATTCAACTGAATGAAACTATACTTTATATCAAAGTTGTAAACGCTATGTAAAGATCTATAAAATATACTGGGGAAATATAAAAGATACTGGGGAAAACGTCAAGGAATAAAAAAATCTACGCACTTGGAACAGTTTCTATCCATGGGCCTTTTGAATCTATGCCCATTCCTACTATCAGCAATCTGTGACCCTCAAATATTATTTGATACTTGCCAAGTTTCATTTCTCAAGCTCCATTGCGATAAATGGTAGAAATTTGGAAACATTTCAGGCAGTGTTGCAAACAATTGCCTCCAAAAGAATATGCTTACATCTTTACATTGTAGTATATTGCAACTGTGGTCAAGATGTCTATGAATTTTATTACGGGATCACTTGTCCCCATGAAAGCATTCACAAATTAGATTATACGTTTTCAAGTTTCGTTTGGCAAAGATGACTTGTTCTGCCAGGGGAAATGTGGCACGGCCACATACCTTTGCAGTACTCACAATTAAAGGAGGATGGAGAACCTCTTGATCTGCTGTAATCATCGCCATACTGTGAGGCCCGCCGTCCATAGGCAAGCTGGTGGCTGTTGCTATTGCTGCTGCTAATGCCCATCCCTTCAACGGACATCCGCTCTTTGGTTTTCAGGGCGTAGGCTCTTTCCTGCTTCAGCCTGTCTTCATCCTTCAGCAGGCTCATCACCTGCTTCACCTTTTCACGAACATTGATGCCCTGGTCTTTGCCATCACGGTCTATGTACTGGAACTCCTTTAAAGTCTGAATGGTATACAGATTCTCCCGGCACTGATGAGCCACCTTCTCTGAGCCTGTTTTAATGAGGTAGTCCAGAAGAGTCAGGGCCTTGTAGACATGACGCCAGTTCTTGCCACTGTCATTCAGCCGTCTCCAGATCATACCCATGACCTCTGCAAAAGCCACTGTATTGAAGGTCAAGTCAGCAATCTCAGACATTAAAGAGCTGGGGGGTCCCCAGGGGTCATTGGAGGTGGCCTCACGCACCTTGATTTCTGCTTCAGAATAATTGTGCACAATGTTTTTCACTTGTCGACGCAAGGCTGAGGTCGTCATGGCTGAACTGGAAAAAAGATCTCACTCTGCAGAAAGAAATTATCCAAAGAAGAAAACTTGAGAGGCCTCAGGGAAGAATCAAAGCTTCAGAGTGATTGGTTAAGAAGTGCTAATTCTTCAGTTTCCACAATGAGCTAGAAAACAAGAAATGGAATCTGTATTAAAATTATGGTTCAGTTCAGCCATTTTAGCTAATCCGTTGTTTTATTTTATCCAGTCAGGGGATAAAATGCATTTCTTTCTTTCTATCCCTCCCCTTCTGCTCTATTCTTCTACTTTATGTTATGTCTTCAAAAGCTAGAGCTGTTCCAGATAGTTCTAAGCCAGCCATGAATTATTCAGCTAGAGTATTTGGGCAGAGTGCATATAGAAAACTCCTTTTGTTCCTGAAATACCTCTACACTATTTTTTTCTGAGTACAATTCTGCATGGTGAGTATATTGCAGTGCCCTTTAAATTTACTTTTGTCACTTTGAGGGCCATACAGTACTCTAAACATGGGTGGGATGAAGTCCTGCGGTTCTGGAGATATTTGAAGGGTTTTAAAGAGGAAATGAATGTTTTAAGCCTCTGCATTTGTTTTACCTTTTATCTCCACCCAGTAAAAACCTTCAAAAATGCACGGTTAGAAAGGAAATAGGCAGCCCATGTTAGCTTTGGTAACATATTACCTCATGATTATGGGGTTTTTTAATACCCAGTTTTTCCCCCCAAGAGCTTATATTAACTCACATGGTGGTATCTCCTTCTTCCCCATAACAACCCTACACCATAAGCTGAGAAAAACTGGTTCACAGTTATCCAGGGACATTCAAGATTGAGTAATTGAGGACTCAGATCTGGATGTCACCAGTCCAAATTCAGGCCTTTAGCCACTATGTTACATTGGCCTTTAGCACGATGGGCCATATTATCAAAGAACCCTTATTTCATGAGCAACTATAGTGGGAAAAATCTTTCAGAAAGAAGATAAGAAAATAACAAATCCTTGATGTTACAGAAATACATATCAGGAAATTCTGGACTTTGAATTTCGACAAGGACAAGTACTGTATATGTACTGTGATATGCTGAAGCCAGGCCCTACTGGTTCATGAAAGCCAATTGTTTCATTTTTATGGAATTTTGCAAGTCACACAGATCAGCTGTTTGGTGGCTAGCAAGATGGGGAAGTGGCAGCAATGGACCAGAACTAGTTGTTATACATTTACTGGCACACCATTGTACAGTACATAACAGCTTTCTTTCATAGTAGGCAGTCTCAAAAAGAATAATTATATTATCCACCAAAAGAGATCTACATGCCAAACTAAGCATCCATCTGTGCAAAGAGTGGGCTGTGAATAAACACCGCCATTTACACTGTGATCGAGGTCTCACTGAAAGGATTGAACATCTTTCTGCTTCAAATAAGAATGCCAATCTTTATCTGAAGCCCTTTTTTCATATTGTGGAAGCTGGATGAAAAAAAACATATTATAGTTTTCTACTTTAGGTTTTTCTGAGTAAAGTGGATAAGATATCCAAAATAATTTGGAATCAGGTTTACAGGTAGTAGTTAATAGACATCACACCAAATCATTTGGCATCTGTATAATTCAACATAGCATACATGTTGTGAGTATCTTTCCATGATACTTCTTTTACTTTACAAATCTAGAGTATCTGAGAACAAAAACAAAAGCATATATTCAAGTTTCCTCAATGTAACACAAAAATAAATTATGAACTATAAAAGCAAGATCATATTTTGCACTCCTAAAAACTTGCAAAATACAGTACAGCTAAAGCATTTATTTAAAAATCAACATCTTTTATTGTTAAAAGACAGAGGTGGGTTGCTACCGGTTCGCACTGGTTCAGGAGAATTAGTAGTGGAAAATGTGACTGCATCGCCGAACCAGTAGGGAAAGCAGGCTGGCCATGCCCCCGAACTGGTTTCCCGGTCATCCATGCCGTTGCCGGCATCTTTTTTAGTCATTTTATAATGTTCTGCACATGCGCAGAACAATTTACAGGCAACTGCACATGCACAAGCAATACACGGTGGGGGCGCACGAGCAGAGCAAACCGGCGGCTGCAACCCACCCCTGTTAAAAGGGCTAAATTTACTGTGAACATTTTTAAAATAAGAAGACATAGGAGTGAGAAAATGTTTTTTTTAAACCTTTCCTCAGTGATCAAGGTCAAACTTCCCTCTAGTGTTAAAACTACAGTTCTCAGCATTCATCAGGCAGCTGTAGGACAATGAATTATGGAAGGCTATCTTAAATATCTTACTATCCTGGCACATTTTTACTTGACCTGGTAAAGCACATAACAGTTCCATCCAAATACTATAAGTAAAAGGGATCACATTCCCCATTTTTATCCCCAAGGTAGTTATCCTGTAACTTTCTTTCTTTCTCTGTATCTTTGACTTCTGAAACTTTAGTTGCGATTTATCATTTCTATCTGAATCAATAGATAGGGATGATAACTGTGCAGCCCCCCCACACAGACATACACATACATGTACACTGGAACATGTTATCCATTGAATTTTATTACACTGGAACATGCTATTCATTGAATTTTATGTAAGTCAACGATGAGATTATGAATTCATATAGGCAACATTGCAATGGAAGTGACAGGAGATTCTGTTACACTCAGCCTTCTTCAAAGACTTAAGCTAGTTTTCCCAGCTACTAAATTGTTTTTCAATTTATTTGAATCCTGCCAAAATTAAACTCATGATTCACAATATAATAAAAAAACATGTTAAACTCTCACTAAAATCGTATTAACAATAAGATAAAATCAGTTAATGCACACAATCAAATTAAGAGTGGCACTGGTGTTCATTTCTAAAACCTTGTCAGAACAGCCAATTTTTGAGCAGTTTTATGATGTTTACCAGAGTCATCTATATCTCAGATGAGAACTTATTTCACAATATCACAGCAGCAATAAAAAAGCACAGCTTCTGAGCACTATCTCCAGCCAAGGATACATAGATTTGTATGCTCATAAGTGCATTAAATGTCCTAAGCAAGGATTGATAACTTTTCACTCTTTTTCCAAAGATACAAGTAGTACATTGGATATGAAGAACCATTCAAGTTGTTGCTGCTTGAAGAAGGTCTTAAGTAAACATTCTGGATTTCTTGGATTAAAAAAGAAGCAAAATTGATGTACTAAGCTCCCAGTAAATGCAATGCATCTATTTTACCCAAAAGGCCTGCACAGAAAAAACTGAACATTCTTCAATCTTCATGCTGTCTAGTGACACTCTTATTATTATTGCCATACCCTAGCAGCCTTGAAATGTTTTAAAAAAACAAAAGCATACCCTCTACCCCCAAATTTAGCCTATTCTGTCCTACTAAGAATGTGGGGTCACCTCCCACTTAGTGACTAAGTAAACAATGTCAGATTTCTGGGCTCATTCTCACATCCCTACTGCACAGATGATTTATATACTGGTGGTCCCAACTTACCACCACAATCGAGCCCAAAATTTCTATTGTTAAGTGAGACATTTGTAAAGTGAGTTTTGCCCCATTATACAACCTTTCTTTCCACAGTTGCTAAGTGAACCATTGTAGTTGTTAAATTAGTAATGTGATTGTTAAGTGAATCTGTTTCCCATTGACTATGCTTGTCTGAAGGTTACAAAAGGGGACCATATGATCCCAAGATACCACAATGGCCATAAATATGAATCAGATGCCAAGCATCTGAAGTTTGATCATGTGACTATGGGGAATGCCACAATGGTCGTAAGTGTGAAAAATTGCCATTAGTCACATTTTTCAATGCTGTTATAACTTCGAATGGTCACTTAACAATATTAACAGTAATAGGGCACATGGCAAATATGGCTTGCTTGGAGGGTAGGGGGAAATAACACTGAACTTTGCTCCCCATGTGCAATATAGTATTTGAGTATCTACAGTTCCATCAGTCTAAAGTAAGGCCTTTGAGGGAGCTATCTTTAAATATCCCAGAAACTGATAAAAAGATTAATAATGGGAAGAAACTTCCCTTAAAGTCAATGTGACAGCATTACCAGATCTTTCAATCTTCAGGCCAAGGTAGATCTGAAGAATTTTA